GAGGAACTTCCTGCACTCGCTCTTGACGTGACCGGTCTTGTGGCAGTGGAAGCACCGTTTCTCGGCCCTGTCCTTGGCCGCCTGGCTCCTCTGGTCCGTGGAGTTGTCGCCGCCCTTGCCCTTCTTGCCTTTGCCTTCCTTGCCCTTCTTTCCTTTGCCCTTGTCGCGCTCGCGCCTCGCCTTCTCCACGGCGCTCGTGTCCATCGGGACCGGCGGCGGCACTGATGAGATGGCGCTCCTCGTCGAGATCACCATGTGCACCTCGTTGCGCATGAGCTCCCACGTGACCAGCCTCGACGCGTTGTGGACCAGGTGCGCTCGAAGAGCTTCGTCCTGAATCCCCCGTTGAAGGATCGCCATCTTGATCCTGTCCCCGATCCTCTCGTGGCTCTGACTCTCGTACTTCGTGACCTTGAAGTCGAAGTCCGCCAGCGTCCCCACGATGTTGTCCTCCGGGAACTGGAACGCAATCAGCTCCTGCAGCAGTCCTGCGTGGCGACCGGGTCTGTCGGGCTCGTACATGTCTTGTAGTGTCCTCCACGCCCGATGCCCTTCTCCGACGCCGACTGGCTTGATGAGCTGCAGTGCGGCTCCTTCCAGCAGCAGGACGAGGATGAAGTACAGCTGGCGACTGCGCTGACTCGCTCCCTCCTCCAGGAGCCTCGCGTTCCTCACCTCCTCCAGCGGGAACGTCATGGCTGCTGTCAGCTCGTTGGCCATCTGCTCGTCGAGGGCCCCGAGGTACGCGAGCATCTTGAAGCTCCACCCTGGCCACTCGTCCTCGCTGCCTCCGAACGCCTTCGGCTTCGCTAGAAGCCGAGTGTCCACCAGATCCTGTGGCGCGGCCCTCGCCGCTGCCACGGGCCTGCTCGCGGCGGCGCCTGCGCTCGCTGCTGCTGACTCCGCCGCCAGGGCGCGCTCCTCTGCAGCCTGCACCCGTTGTTCGGCAGCCTGCAACGCTCCCTCGAGCGCCTGGAAGCGTCGCTCGATCTCCTCCATACTTCAGATCGAGCTTCTCGTCGAACTTCCTGCTCCTCAGGATGTCTGCCTTGTTCGACCTTGAGCCTCGCTTCGTCTTCTTCTTCTTCGGCGGCGTGCTGGGCTAAGAAGGGCCGGCTGGCGCGGCCCCCGCCGCTGCCAGCCGCCAGGGCGCGGCCCTCGCCGCTGCCCTATTGCTGGCGCGCGCGCGCGCCGCGGGTGGCTGGAAGGGAAGCGGCGGCGGGAACGAACCCACGCCGCTCCGCTACCATGTCGATGGTTTTTACTTGGACCAAGGGGCTACAGATTAGCATGTACAGTCAACAAGATCCCAATTAGAAGATTTGCCCAATAATTTTCGCAAACGACAGCCCCAAAGCCAGTCCAGCAGGGACCAAAGGCAGCCCCGAGGCAAATCCAACAGAGACAAACATAAAGGCGTCGATCCACCGCCACCTCACGAGGATGAGGAGGAGGAGGAGGAGGAAGAGGAGGAGGCCTCTTCCTCCTCCTCCTCCACCCCCTCCCCCGCCCTTCCCCCTCCTCCTGCACCTCCTCCTCCTCCCCCTCCTCCCCCCGACGGATCTGACGCTTTACAATGTCTGTGCCGTTTGCCAACCCACGCATCATCCTCCACGGACTCCCAGTCAACGTGGCCATTGCGACTGCCACCGCGATCGATGATGGCCTTGATCAGCGTCTTCTGCAAGCTGAGGTGCAGCTGGTGCCGGGCGTCGTCCCGGCCCAGGTTGTTAGCGTGCACCGTCATCGTCAAGCCTTTGATGCCCCTGAGCCTGGAGGTGAAGATCCGCTGGCAGTAGAAGCAAAAATCCAGCGAGCCCTTCAGGGCTTGAGTGGGTTAGGTTGCCAGCTCTGATCAAGGCCCTGATTCTAAGGTTAACCCCCCCATGCCCTCTCCCCCAGGGCATGGAGCATCCAAGGTCAGCCAACGATGCGCGCAAAGGTTGACATCCACTCAAGAAAACGCTGTTTTAGTAACGGTGCTTGCCCGCCCAAAATACGACGCGGGCTTGCATTAGAGCCTAATACAAGCCCTCCGCGGTCAGATCGATGCCCGCCGAGATGACGCCCAGAGACCTCCCGCATCTATCCGCAGAACCCCAAGCCCCCTTCGCTTGCTCCATGGCCAACGACCGCGGCCTCAGAAACGGTCGCGCTTGAGACGGCTTGTCTAGACCAAACTTGGCCTGGACTAGCCGTCTCAAGTGCGACCGTTTCTGGTGCCACGATCTCGCCGCAACGGCTGTTGTTTGGGAATGGGCTGGCGGGGGTGCGCGAAGCGCAAAGACTTGCCTTGGGTCTCGCCGTTGGCCCCCGCCGGCTTGCCCCAGGACATATATATACACGGTCCGCCCGAAGTGCTTCTCGACTGGGTCTTCGTCATCGTCATGGAATATACAAATGAGGCACTTCTTGTGGGGCGGCCTCCGCGCCGCAGGGACTGGTTCGGGGTTGGCATCGGCCAGCGCCTGCTCCATCTCCTCCTCCCCGGCAGACGCGCGCGACGCAGCTCTCCTGGACCCGCCACTCCGCGCGCCATGTCTCGACATGCTCTGTCCTGGCCCGAGAGCCAAGCCCATCTGCGAGGGCTGCGAGGGCCCCCCCATGGCCCGGCGACGCAACTCGCAGGGCCGTCGGGGCTCGGCAAACTCAGCCAAAAAGGCCTGCTACAAACGCGATGGGGCCCAAGAGGATTCGGGCTCAACTGAACCAGGATGCAATCGAAAACGTTTAAGGCAACTCGCTATCGAACTGCCCACGTCATGGAACGATGCGTCTAAGCGACGCGCGCCCAGGTAAAGCGCCAAGACAATCCACAGAGACTGAGCCCAAGACGACCGACCAGCACCCAATCACAGGAGAGACTGAGAACAACCAGGCGCGGGCTCCACATCCCACGGCCCAGGCAGGGGACAAGCTGAACCCAAGACGACCGACGCGGACCCAAAGACCATCTGACCCGCGCCCAGGCGCGCGAGTTGAGACCCGCGCCCAGGCACGCGAGAGCGGACAAGCGGCCCAGGAGGCCCCATATAATAGAACATTCGAGTTTACATCAGAATTGGAGATTGGGGCAATCTCTTCTCTTCGGTTTCCGACGGCCCAGGACTCCCAAGAGGCCCCCAAGATGGCCCCCAAGGCCCCCTATACAAAACCCAGACGGCCGACCCGCGCACAAGCACGCGGCCGCATGCCCACGACCCAGGCACGGTCCGCAAAAAGGCATTGGGCGAGAAGCAAAGGGGAGGAGAGGGGGAGGAGCAATTGGGGAGGACGCTTGGCCTCCCCTGAACTCCCGAAACGATATGTCACTCCGTCTTATGATCGCGAGCGCCTCGACAAGAAACATCTAAGCGCTGAAAGTGGCTGCAAGCGGAGAACGCCGCGACATGCGGCGCCGAGAATGGAGCTGCGATTACTCAGTCGCTGCTGGCCGAAACGTCGCTGGAATCGACAACATCTTCAGCGCCCCCCTCATCCGGGGCGCCACTGTCGCCCTGGGCTGCATACGGGCTCGGCTCATAGAATCGGCCGAACGTCGAAAGACTTGCGATCGCCCACGGGCCCAGGTGGAAGAGCGAATACGCATTGCCCGCCATGTTCGAGATCATGTCGAGGTAGCTGAAATCCTTGGTTTGGTCATTCCTGCGCTTCCACATCGGCGTCCCAGCCGATCATCGTGAAGAGCTCGATCGGCTCAACCGCCCTGACATGGACGACGCCACTGCTGCGGCACCGCACGATCATCGTCATGCTGCCAACCAATGTCGGGGGCCTCGATGACCACGGCGACGGCGCAACATAATCACCAGTAACACTTTTCGGGCGGTAAGTGTCCTCGTCCAGGTGCCGCTTGATGGTCCGCTGCGTGCTCTGGTTCACGTCGAAGAACTCCATCTGGGTGCCGATCGCCATCGGGAAGAGGACGTGCGACATAACTGCGAGCTCGAACTCGCGAGGCAGCATTCCCGACCTATGGATGACATCGCCGCCAACGGGCGGCGCCGCATGGTCAAAAGGCCACTGAATGCCATTCGCCTGGAAGATCTCCCTGTGCTCGTGCTTCCAATTCGGATCATCCTTCTTCGACTTGCTCTCCATGCCAACGCCGAAGTCGGACCACAGTGGGATCCCAGAGACTGTCGACATGCGCTTGAGAAACTCGTCGTTGGTTTCAATACACGGCCAGGTTTTCGGGTTGTCGGCATCGCTGGCGTTGGGCAGCCTGCACGCCACCAGCACTCGATTGAAATGGTGAGCGAGCGATCTCATCCGGCGAACCTTTCATGTGCAGCATTCCAGTCCAATACGTCCGCACGCGCCGCGGGTAAGCCCCGAAGTCGCAGGAGTCAAGCGTGCCGTGGTGAGCCCAGTACCCCATCTTCTTCAGCTCGCTGGTAACCCAAGAAGCATCCAAATCCTGCTGAACGCCACCCTCCTGATTCAATTCCTTAACGCACTCCAAGTGAACGATAGTCGGCCAATGCTGCTTGATGGCGCTGAGGGTCTCATTGAAACCGACGCCCGTCGCCTCGCGGCCCTCCTGGACGCAGCCAAGGTTGGCAGCCCGCCGGCGCGACAACGGCGTCCTCGAAGAGCAAGGCGGCCCGGCGTCTAAAATGAAGCACCACGGCAATAGCTCCTCGGTGCCGCCGCGGGCGTCGTTGTCACCCGAAGGAGATTTGAGCTTCTTCACGCCCCCGACCAAGAAGCGAGGGCAGAACTGGTCCATGATGTGCTGCTGCTTCTCTGGGTTGAGCTCGCTGTACACCATCGTGTCGAATACCACTTCGATTCCGAACTCCCTGTTCAACACGGTCTGCAGCGCCGAGTAGAAATGCGTCCCCACCCCGCTACCTGCGAACCAACTCCAGCGCGCGGCAATGCCCTCCGGGACCTTGGAAGCGAAGCTCCTCAAGCCGTTGATGCAATCGATTTCGACTTCAGGGCCGAGCTCCGTGAGCCAGCGGCGCACCATGTGCTCGGCCAGGTTCCGAGGCTCAGCACGCGCTCACGTGGGGTCGCAGCTTCCTCCGGGGCGTGGAGAAGGACTCCCCGATGATCTGCACGGCGTCCTCGTCGCCCTCGGCGCCAGCCTCCCGCTCCAGCGGGTCGTCGACCTGAGGGGCGGGGCGTCAAGTTCTGAGGCGCTGCCATTCACAGGGGGCCAACGCTTGCGAACTGTCTACATCGGGGGGGTCGCTCTCAATCGATCGTCGCTGCGGATACTTACCAATAGCAAACCAGAAATCTCTCAAACCTTAAATCCAGTCAGCACTTTTTATTCACATCGATATATTAAATCTTTTTAAAACCATCAAATACATTATTTACGAAAATCTCCGAAAATCCTCGGGGGATTCTGAACAGGCGAAACGCCTGAGACATCCTCGCAAACCGCGCGAACCAAAATCTCAGAAAATCCTCTGAGAAAAATGATTTATTAAATCAAGCAACTATTAAATAAAACAATTAAGATATTCAAAAACATTTTTGTATCATGCTTATATCACGCGCCAGCGCCTGCTAACCTCAAAAGACATCCCGCGCCATGATGCGATTCTCCTGGGAGGGGGCCCTGCTCCGACCCCCCCTGCCCCCCCCCCCTCCTCGCCCCTTCCCCCCTTGTCCAAGAGTTAGTGTTCAACGCCGCTCCTCCGCCTCCTCCTCCTCTTCATTCTCCTCATCATCCTGCATGTGAAACGTAACTCGTCCTCCTCTTCCTCCTCTTCCAGGTCCGCAATGTTTCGCGCGCGGCCTGAAAAGCCCAAGCCTTGCTGCGCAACCTCAGAAACATGCCGCCCAGTGGGGCGAGGAGGAGATTAAGGGATGGGATGAAGAGGGGGAGAAGCAGCGGCAGGAGGATAAGCACGATGAGGGACGGGCGGGTGGAGGAGGGGGGAGGGAAGGAAGAGCAGACGGAAATGGAGATGAACGCGCGAGTTGGGGAGCTAGCCAACGACCTGGCAGTGATCGTCATCGGCGCCGCCCTCCTCGTCCCCCATGCAGCTCTTGGAGTCGCCGAAGTCCGCGCCCAAGGCGTCGGCCAAGCTGCCGCCCACCGCCGCGATGGCGCCGACCGCGTCGTCGTCATCCCCGAGGACGCTGGGCGACGCTGGTTCGCGCTCGCAGGCGCCACGGACCGCCGAGGCTGGGGGCGCTGGGGCTGGCGCGCCGACCGAGGACTCGACAGCGAGCTGCTCGGTCTGGTTCTCCGACCCCGCATCCTCGCGGCCCTCGGGCTGCGGCGGCGACGGCGAGGCGGCAGCGGTCAGCGCCGGGGCCGACGCTCCGAGCTCGCCATCCTCATTGGCCACCGCGCTCTGCACCTTCCTCAAGGGTGGGAGGCCGCTCACCTGCGGCCGCACTGCCACGCACACAGGCGGCGCAAGTAACGCTTTAGTCAACTCCTCGAAGCTTGGCGGCTGACGATCGGCATCATCCTGCGGGTCTGTATGCGCCATTGCTATCGCAACGCCGCCTGGATCATCTCTGTGCTTGCGCAGCGCCGCCTTCTTCTTCTCTTGCCACTTCCTCACCCGGGCGATGGCGGTCTCGACAATCGCGTCGATGCCCTCCTCGGTGTAGGTCTTAGCGTCTGCTAGTGAGACCCTGATTTTGCCAAATGCCCCCTGCTCCTCTCCTCCGCCTGCAGCTGGGCTCTGCGCCTGAACTGACCCTGCGCCTGTGACGTCGCTCGTCCTCTGTCTCTTGTCCTGCGAAGTGTCTCCGCCATCCCCAGAGCCTCGAGATGGAGAGGTGGGATTCGCTTGCTTCCTGGCCCGCTTGGCCATATTGCCAAATCTGTTTGAAGCCGAATGGCTATGGACGATGGGGAGGAGCGCGGGCCACCGTCGGCCAAGTACAACGATGACTGGCACGATGGGTTCGATAGATACGCTTGGCGAGCAAGGAGGTGCGAGCTATTCGGTGCAATCTACTCGCAGCGCGCTGCATCCAGCCACGACTGCATGGCAATAAGCCGAGCGCGACTGAGCCTCTGTGGGCTTGCCTGGCGCGCGAGGCGGCAACGAGGCGCGAGGGGCGGCGACAGCGCGATGACCGTCGGAAAGCCGATCGACATCCAAGGGGCGCGCCGCAAGGACCAAGACGCATGCAACAACATGCGCTCCAAGCTGATACGTCTTGGAAGTGAATCGGGCCGTCTTGGACTTGCATGGCGTCTCCAACGCCTCAATCCCTATGGGCAGCGGGAGGCCCTGAAACTGTGGTGGCCCCGAGCCCTCGTGGTTTCACACACCTCATGGCCTTTTGGAGGCTCTCAATACCCCCCGAAGACCTCTCCCCCCCCCCCCCCCCCTCACGCCTGACACCAAGGCTCTGGGAGGCCCTGACACTGCGGAGGCCCCGGGCCCTTGGAGCTCCCGACGCTTGACCCCGGGCCTTGATATGCCCCGAGAAATCCTGAGGCTATGGAGAGTCCGAGCCCCGAGATCCCCTCGCGCCTGACGCCAGAGCCCATGGGCCCTGAAAAGCCCAGAGGCTCTGGAGACCCATGGCCCCCGCGGCCTTGCCCTGAGACTCTGAAGACCTCCAGCTCTCCAGACCCCTGGAAACCCAGAAACCCTCGGAGGCCTAACCTAGGACCTCGGGCGGGGGAGGGTTGGCCATGGGGCCATGGGCCATGCCGAACGGCGCGACCAGCAACTCGGCAAGTGACTTGATTTCCGAACTACGACCGTCCCTCGCAGCGCTTTCTCAATGAACTCTGCCAATGGCTGACGCGTTGTCGCGGCGAGCCCTCGCAAATGCTAGCCAGACCGATGCTGACGCACGAGGCCGTGCCTGCGCGGAGAGGAAGTGCCTGTACGACGTGCATTACTGAGAATGACAACCCAACCCCTGGATGTAATGCAAGACTTGCTGGCCGAAGAGACAATGGCCATGGTTCCAGGTGACGCACCCATCCCCCTCCCCCTCCCATGACCCCCCTCCCCTGTCTCATCCATGCCCCATGCCAAACTCAACTCGGCTGGGGCGACTAATTGTGCCGAATGCGCAATGGTTCCTCGAAAGACCCCGCAGGGTGGTGCCGCCGTTCTAATTCGAGGAGCTCCTTATAATTGTTCTCAGCTTCGCGATCAACCAACCACTTCCGGGCGTCGATTCTCGTCTGCCACTGGGCGGCAGAACGCAACTCCCCTAGAATGCCCGAGTGCTTCGCACGAGTGTCGCATTCTGGATGCAGGTGAGGGTGCTGGAGAAAAGCTACCAAGTATCCTAAGCCTAAGCGGTTGCATTTTTTGTTAGCCCTGCAAAGACCGTGGCCTGGGAATTTACAATGGGCCCCCAGCTGGCCATCAATGGCATCGTAGACGATGTACGAGCCGTGATCACCGATCGGCCAGCGCGCCCACGGCCCGGCAGCAGGCGGCGGGGGCGCAGGAGGCGGCGGCGGCTCGCCCTCGGCAGGCGCCCCTTCAACGGCAAGACCGCCTGGAAGATGCGGCGGTTCATGCGGAGGTAGAAGTGGGGGCGGGGGAACGCCAGCATCGCTGTCGACATCAGAGCCCTCCCTGCTCGGAGCGCTGCCCCGATGGTCGGACGACGAACCCTCGCCCTCCTCGGCTCCAGCTGGGCCCAGGCGCACAGGGCCCCCAGCTCCTGGGCCTGGGCGCGCGAGCGGGCCGACGACTCTGACGCCTGGCCGTCGTCGCCGCTTCGCGACTGCCGGGCCGCAGGCGGCCTTGAAGCCGTCCTTCATGAGCTTCAGCCCCCTGTCCACTGGAGCGCGCGCCTTGATGTACGGGTGCACGCGCTGCTCCGTCTGGAGAAGGTTATCATCAACATCCGTTTGCAAGAATACCTCCCTCGCTGAATCGACTGCGCGATCCCGATCCACTGGCGCAGGTGACACATGCAATTCAAGAGGGCGGTCTCGAGGAGACTCCATGATCACAGAGCCCACGAGGGACACGCCAGTGATGCAGGGGAAGATGCCGTCGGCGTCCTCGATGTCGATGCTGAGGCGCCTCGAAGACGGGTCGAAAATACAAGGCAAAAACAACGACACCCGCGGGTTGCCGCCTCGCAGGTGCCCCAAGGCAACCCAAGTGACAACGTGCCAGTCAGGCCCAGTGACAAACCGCAAGCGATGGAAAGAACCACGAGGGTGACGGCCCATTGCCCTGGCGAGATCCTTCTCGCATTCCTTGGCTCGCGGCACAACCCAAGCGTTGGTCTCTGCACATAGTCCAGGATGCGCCAGAGGGCGCGGAATGTAATATTCGAACACATCTGACTCCTTGATGGCCTTGCGATCAGGAATGAACAGGCCATCGACATGACTATCTCGGAAGCAAGGCGCATAGCGCGTAAATCCTGCTGGCTTGTCCTTCGAATCCTGCCCCAGCTTGATGCGAACGCGCCGCTCGAAAGACTCCGTCGTGTAAGGCGTCCGGGCGTCGCCGACGGAGTCGACGAACGTGGCGAACCGCCGCCTGCCCACGCACGGTGGTTCGCCCCTGATGACATCGGGATGATCAACGCGATAGGGCTGCGCCCCTGGCGGTTGGAACTTCTCGCCGCTGGCTGTCCGCCACGCCGCGTACTGCTCGCTATTCATGATGGCCCCGTCGACTGCGACGAAACGCTGTCTGCTCGGAGAAAGCAGAAGGTCGTCGCCGTCGAACTCCTCCCCCTGCTCTCTGGCCAACCTGCCAGCGAACGCCAGCTGCGCTTCGGCCTGCTCGACTTTCCTGGCCTGCTCCCCCAATTGCCTGAACTCTTCACCCTTCGCTGCCTGCCAAGCTCTGTACTGGCACTTAGTCATGGTCGCCCCCTCAAGTGCCAGCTGCTCCCTGCGAGGCTCCTCGGCCTTCATCATGAAATTCGCGAATGGCCCCCGAGGCTTGGGGGTTCGCTCTCGCTCGACGCAACGAAGGGCTACTCCATCCTCTACCAGCTGCTGCCTTTCAAGGAGACACATGTAAGCTACCTGCACACTAAGATACGAAATCAGCGACTCGCCCTCCTCGCAGGGGACAGGCAAACCCGAAACATTCCTGCTGGGAAAAGACCCCGTTCGATAACCATTACGCGCGCCTTGGGCCGCGGCTCCGAGAGGACCCCCAAGAATCCTTCGAGGGGGCTCCGCGAGAGCCCTCGGATAAACCTCCACCCCTTCCCCTCAGTTGCAAGGGCGACGGCCGCAATCATGACAGAAGGGGGTCGGGCCCTGTTGGGGCCCGCGTGGGCCTTCCTGGTGCGGTTTGGGGCAAGCGTTTGCCTTGGCTCTCGCAACCTCCAGCTTTCGAAAAAAAAGCTCCAGGTCGAGACCATGGCCCATCATGACGCTCTCTTGAAACCCCGTTGAACCCTCTTGGGCTCGGCTTCGGCTTCCCGGCGCCCCCCCGAGGACGTCTCGAGCCCCTTCGAAGGACACGCGACCCTCGGTCACTCGAAGCGTACCAGTCGAAACGACTGCCCAAATCGAATGAACGGGAGCTGGAAACAATCTGGGAGGCAGTGCAGGGTGCTGTTTACATGTGCGGCCCTGGACTTGGAAACAGGAGTTGCGAATCCTTTGGCAGCGTGCTCCCGGAGCAGCTGCGACAGGAACCCGTTGCTACACACTCGTTCTACGTCGACGTCGCCATCGTCCGTTGACTGGCGTATCTGGGCGAGAAGCCTCTCAGTCCACATGTCCGTGAAGTGGTAATTCGTCGCCCACGTTACTAGAAGCCTCCTGAAATCCAGATCCTGCGGGGGGGGGGGGGCGCCGAAGAGCAAGCGCCGACGCAAGATGTGATCATCGGGCCGCAGTTCTACGCCGCCTCCTCATCCCCAACCTCCTCTCCTTCATCCTTCCCCCCGCTGGGCGTCTGCGCTTCGGCGCCCCCCATGGGTCCTGCCGCAGCGCCTGCGCATCGGCAAAGATGTTCGCAACCTTCGCGCAGAAACCTCGGTGGCGGCAACGCGGCTTCCTGGCGTCCGAGAAGAAGAAGTCAGCGACCGCATCCTGGTCGGCCTTGCTCACGCCTGGGTGGATCATGCGAGCCCATTGGTATGGGAAGTCCTCGTAGTGCAGGAAGCGCCAATAGATCTGGCTAGCGAAATCAAGCCCGAGTCCTCGGAGCCTCTCCATCATCACGCGCTTCAAGCGGTCTGGGAACGAATCGAAGATCGGCTTCATCTGCCCAGCGGGCCCATCGGTGACCAGCGCGGTCAACTTGCGGCGGCAGGCGAAGAATGGATTCAAGCCATTCCTGAGTACAATATCATATAGCCCCCTGCCAGCTTCGTCCAACCACTGTAACTCTGAAGACAAACGTTCGAGAGGAGCACCAATCCAGCACATCAAAACTATGTCGATGGTCTGCTGCTCATTGTGCAGGACTTTCTTGGATCGCCATGTCTTCTTTTGAACCTTCATACGCGCCGGCTGCGCTTTAATATCATCATAGTTCCCCCCGAGGCCATCTGGTTCCATCGCGTGCCAATCTGGGAAGCACACGTCGAAGACTTGCACGAGCACGAAGTGGCAGAGAATGCCCGTTGAAGATTTCCCGCAAGCCGCCCCGCACGTGCCCCAATCATCTTTGCATGGGATGTCGCACTCCCGCGACTGGAGAAGATCGACGCCGATGGCGGCAGCGAACAAATTTCGTTGCGCATCTTCCTTGTCGGCGCAGCAACCGTTACAAACGTGAACTATGGTATGGCTGGACCAATCTCCGTTCCAGAACTTGAGGAAGCACTTTGCATGCTCATCAAGGTCGCGCTCTCCAGGCGCATCAGGGTCATTGGCAATGCAAGACGACCTGCGTCTCAA